GAAATGTGACTGATTAAAGAAACTCAAGATTACGTACAGTGCAGAAAAGTCCGTCTGTCAAAATCACGACTGAGCACATTGGTATATTGTAACTTTCTTAGTATTTTAAGCTTTTTATTAATGCTTTTAAAAATAAATGATAATTTTTTTTTAAACTTGACCGTTGACAATTTTTCTTTGGCGTATATCTGGTGAGGTGGAGTCTTTCTAAAGATGTAGAAAGAAAACTGCTCAGACTTATCTGGGTAAAGGGGTGGCATTGTAAAGATACCACCGGTTGTACAACAGTGTTGCTGACGATCCAAGGTTAGGGGCAAAGCCCAGTGGGAGCCAGAACCCACGAGGACTGGCCCTGGCCGGTCAGGAGCCAGGGCTCTGTTGTGTTTCTCGGAGGTCATCTTACCCTTCTCCCTGCACCGTGTCTCGTCCGTCGGCCTCCCTCCTGGCACCTCCACATCCTCGTCATGCACTCGCCTGACGTGGTGGCCCAAGCCATTCTCACTTCATCACTGCCTCGCAGTTCCATTTGACTGTCTCGGTGTCTCTCAGTTCACCTTCTCAGGAGACGTAGAAATTCCCGCTGTTTCAGTTTAGTCTGAGGATTCGTGTCCACGTGCCTGGGATTCTCCCTGGCCTTTTGGCTGCGGGAGCGGAGGCTAACATGACAAGTGCTCTTCAGTGGTTTCGCCTGGGCGACTCAAGGTACCTCTCACATTAGTAGCTCCCAGTACATATTTGTTGAATAAATGAATATTCAATGCCTGTAAGTAAGCTTCGCAGAATGGAACTTTCAGTGGCTTAAGCTTTCTTGTACAGTGTGAGTGGAGTTCTGTCATTTTTCATGACAATGAGCCAGTTTTTCTACATTCGGCGTATTTTCATTGCCTAAGCATGTGCCAGGTTAAATTTAGTTATGAAAGTAGCCTATTTGCTTCCTAAGATGCTTTCAGATGTTCCCTCCTTTAATACCTAATCCAGGTGGAGAGTGGTTGTAGGTTCAGGAAAGTCGTTCATTTCAGCAAATATTTGTCCCACTTTGTCTGTGTGCCAGGCACTCTTCTGGGGCCTAGGAGAACAGAACAGATGCAAGGCCTGCGTACAGTGGTGGGAACCAGCCAGAAACAAGTGACATTCCCAGGGCGGCACTAGTGATGCGTGCTGTGGACAGAAGTGAAGCAGGGACAGCAGCTGGGCAGAGTGGGATTGGAAGTGGGGGTGCTTTATAAGAGAGTGGTCAGTAGGGCCAGCTGGGGGCGTAGTAGTTAAGTTCGTGGGCTCCACTTAGGCGGGGTTTGTGGGTTTGGATCCTGGGCACAGACCTACACACTGCTCATGAAGCCATGCTGTGGCAGCGACCCCCATACAAAATAGAGGAAGATTGGCACAGATGTTAGCTCAGGGACAATCTTCCTCACCAAAAAAAAAGGTCAGAACTCCTCACCAAGCTGACATCTGAGCAGAGATCTGAAGGAAATGAGCCATTCACGTAAGTTGAGGGGGAACCTCCCAGGCAAAGGCAGTGACAGGTGCAAAGGCCCTGAGAAAAGAGCGTGTTTAGCACATTCAGGGAACAGCAAAGAACCCAGTGTGGCTGGAGTGGAGGTGAGCAGAGGTGGAGGTGAGAGAGGCAGCCTGGGGTCAGGTCATCTGCAGGCCATGGTAAGGTCTTCAGCCTTTACTTTGAGCTTCCATTGAAGGTTTTGAACCAGAGCATGATCTGGTTTATAAAAGGAGCCTCTGGCTACTGTGCTGAAATTAGACCCTCGGTTTTGAGGGAGAAAGCAGGCCGACTAGTTGGGTCCAGTGGGTGGTAGTGATGGGATCCAAGTGTGTGTGCACGTGGAGCTCAGGGTCCGCTGGTAGATGACGTGTGGAGTATGAAAGAAGAGCGAGGCTGCCTCCCAGGGGGTGTGGCCTGTGCAAGTGGAAGGACGAAGTAATGGGATGGAGAAGTCTGCATACAGAGTGCTTTTGTGGAAAACAAGGATAGGAGTTGGGTTTGGACGTGAAATTTGAGAAACCCGCTAATGGGAGTTGGATATGTGTAGAGTTCAGAGGAGAGGTCTGGGCTAGAGGTGAAAATTCAGACGTTTGTATAGACGGAATTTAAAGCCATTCAGCAGGACACGATAGCCAAGGAAGTACATTTAAGTAGAGATCCGGGAGCACTCGGGCACGCCTAGCGTTTAGAGAGACGCGGAGAAGCAGGAAAGGAGGCTGGGAGGGAGCACTCGGGCACGCCCAGCGTTTAGAGAGATGAGGAGAAGCAGGAAAGGAGGCTGGGAGGGAGCACTCTGGGGCACGCCCAGCGTTTAGAGAGACGGAGAGAAGCAGGAAAGGAGGCTGGGAGGGAGCACTCGGGCACGCCCAGCGTTTAGAGAGATGAGGAGAAGCAGGAAAGGAGGCTGGGAGGGAGCACGCTGGGGCACGCCCAGCGTTTAGAGAGACGGAGAGAAGCAGGAAAGGAGGCTGGGAGGGAGCACTCGGGCACGCCCAGCGTTTAGAGATGAGGAGAAGCAGGAAAGGAGGCTGGGAGGGAGCACTCTGGGGCACGCCCAGCGTTTAGAGATGAGGAGAAGCAGGAAAGCAGGCTGGGAGGGAGCACTCGGGCACGCCCAGCGTTTAGAGAGATGAGGAGAAGCAGGAAAGGAGGCTGGGAGGGAGCACTCTGGGGCACGCCCAGCGTTTAGAGAGACGGAGAGAAGCAGGAAAGCAGGCTGGGAGGGAGCACTCGGGCACGCCCAGCGTTTAGAGATGAGGAGAAGCAGGAAAGGAGGCTGGGAGGGAGCACTCTGGGGCACGCCCAGCGTTTAGAGAGATGAGGAGAAGCAGGAAAGGAGGCTGGGAGGGAGCACTCTGGGGCACGCCCAGCGTTTAGAGAGACGGAGAGAAGCAGGAAAGCAGGCTGGGAGGGAGCACTCGGGCACGCCCAGCGTTTAGAGATGAGGAGAAGCAGGAAAGGAGGCTGGGAGGGAGCACTCGGGCACGCCCAGCGTTTAGAGAGATGAGGAGAAGCAGGAAAGGAGGCTGGGAGGGAGCACTCTGGGGCACGCCCAGCGTTTAGAGAGACGGAGAGAAGCAGGAAAGCAGGCTGGGAGGGAGCACTCGGGCACGCCCAGCGTTTAGAGATGAGGAGAAGCAGGAAAGGAGGCTGGGAGGGAGCACTCTGGGGCACGCCCAGCGTTTAGAGAGATGAGGAGAAGCAGGAAAGGAGGCTGGGAGGGAGCACTCTGGGGCACGCCCAGCGTTTAGAGAGACGGAGAGAAGCAGGAAAGCAGGCTGGGAGGGAGCACTCGGGCACGCCCAGCGTTTAGAGATGAGGAGAAGCAGGAAAGGAGGCTGGGAGGGAGCACTCTGGGGCACGCCCAGCGTTTAGAGAGATGAGGAGAAGCAGGAAAGGAGGCTGGGAGGGAGCACTCGGGTACGCCCAGCGTTTAGAGAGATGAGGAGAAGCAGGAAAGGAGGCTGGGAGGGAGCACTCGGGCACGCCCCTTGTTTAGAGAGACGGAGAGAAGCAGGAAAGGAGGCTGGGAGGGAGCACTCGGGCACGCCCCTTGTTTAGAGAGGCGGAGAGAAGCAGGAAAGGAGGCTGGGAGGGAGCACTCGGGCACGCCCCTTGTTTAGAGAGGCGGAGAGAAGCAGGAAAGCAGGCTGGGAGGGAGCACTCGGGCACGCCCCTTGTTTAGAGAGACGGAGAGAAGCAGGAAAGGAGGCTGGGAGGGAGCACTCGGGCACGCCCCTTGTTTAGAGAGGCGGAGAGAAGCAGGAAAGCAGGCTGGGAGGAAATGCGGCACATTAGGAGGAAACCAGGAGGGGTGCCTGGAAGCCAGTGAAGAAAGTGCTGCCCAGGGAGGGATGGGCCGCATCAAAGCTGTCCACGGGCCAGATGCCGCCAACAAGGGGGTGGGGACTGGGATGTGTTGAATTTCGCAGTGTGGAGGTCACTGGTGGCCCTCAAAAGAGCTGTTTTGATGGAGTGGAGGAGCTAAAAGCCTGGTGGGAGAGAATATAGGAAAGAACAGTTGAAGATGGCACAAATGAACCACTCTCTCAAGGGATTTTGTAGTATTTCTCAATTTTTGTCATATTTGGTATTAGTAAAATCACATTTGATTTACCTTTGTTTTAGAAAGTTTTTTGTGAATCTCAGTTGTGTATACGTATATAAAGGGGTAAATTTTTTTATGTAAGATTGATTGATTGAAATTTCCCATGGCTGCATAAACATGCATGTGCGTATGTCCTGTCACTCAATCTTAAGAAATTTGACCAGGGTCCTTTTTGTTTAGGTCTGAACTATTAAATGTAGTAATACTTGCACCAGTCATCATGTTATTGCCTGTCACATCGAAATCCAGCTTTCGATGGCGACTCTGCAGCAGTGGGTCTGGACCCTGCAGGTACCTCTCCTGTCAGCCGGCACGGTGAAAAGCTTTGTTGGTAGAGCGCCACTGTGAGGCCCCCGAGGAGCAGGGGCCGTCTTCTTCTGGTTCCAGGTGCCCCTCCAGCAGAGCCCTGCAGCCGCCGCTCCAACTGGGCACACCTGTGCAGTGCCTGGCGCCAGCAGGACCCAGTGGCCAGCAGCACGCGGTGCCCCCATGGCACCTGCTCAGCAAAGCGCCCCATGCTCTCACCTCCTCGGGCTGCAACTCTGCAAACCTGAGGTTCATGCTGTGCCTCTCCGACGACGTCTGGGTCTCAGCCCTGGGGGCCCTCCTTTGGGAGCTCTGCCTCGGCCTAGGGTGAAGAGCTGTTCTCGCCCTCTGCTTAGAGCTCTCACTTCCTCACCTAGCCAATCCCCGTTACTCCAGGCCCGCAGACAGTTCATAGCTCTACGGTAAACTTGCCCGTTCAAATCACCGTGTGGTCTCTGTCACTGATTGGACTCTAATACTTAAAACCTTTTTGATTACAAATGTATTAGCTATAAGATCAGACAAGCAAGATGATAACCCATCTCACCTTCTAGTAATCTCACCCTCCAGAGGAGCCCCCATTGATGGTGTAATGCTAAACTAGTTTTTATTTTAAGTATAAAACTAACACAGGCACTTGTAAAACAAAAAAGCAGTATAAAAAGGGAGAAAGTAAAAAAGAATGCCTTCCTAGAGTTAGCCACTATGAACATTTTCTGGGGTATACTTCCAGAAATTCTTAATGCATCTAGCAACATGCGAGTATGCCTTTTAAACAAATGGGATCATACCACACATACATACATACATACACACATGCTGGCTTTTTCCTTGTGTAAAAATAACATTTAGGGTACAGAGCGGTTGTTTTGCAACCTAATTGGCATCATGAATTTGGAATGCTCTTCTAGCCATTCAGAAGATTCTGCTGCTTAACGGGCAGGAGTACAGTTCTGGACGAGCAGATGTAGAATCCAGCAACATGGAGTCACCAGCAGACAACACATGTTCTCCCCGCGCAGACTGGGTTCACAGGAGAATTCCAAGGCCGTTATAAATGCATATGTTCAAGTCTCAGACGCGTGGTTATCTAACAACGTGTTTGATACTCAGTATTCCGGAAAACACAAATTTAGCTGATCTCCAGTAGTTCTAAATTCTACTCTATTTTTTGCTTATACAGTAAGTGTTGACTCAAAAGGCTCTGGAATAAAAGCATTTTTCCGTAAATCCTATTTCCTTACACTGGCAATGGATAAAGAGAAGCTATAAGTAAACTCTCCTATACCAGTTAATTAAATATACAAAACAGAGCCGACAACGATTAAGGAATACCTCCCTGGACCCTGATCCAGTGGACTCTTATTTCACCTGTGTGTGGGACTGCTTCAGACCTTGTTAGCTGTTTCATGCATAGCTTGAATACTTCCATGCTGTGGCTTTAAGACAGATCAGCGCCCCCGACACCCCTCCCCAGGCCTTGTTCCTCGCCACAGTTAGCCTGAAAACCTGATGCCGGCCCTAGATGACAGGGGTTAGCTGTATAAACTCCATTGAAGGACTGATCTTTAGCTGGTTATTCAGGGACTTCAAAGCTCTGGTAATCTATTTCTTAAGCTCGGTGATGCATAAGCAAAGTATTTTTTTAATTACGTGCCTTACACATTTTATAAATACTCTTTTGTAGGCAATATTTAATAAAATGTTCTTCGATAATTTTTAGAACTGTCGACAAGAATTTTCTTGATTCAGCAGCTTTTTAGCTAAATCTTCTATTTCTGAATGATTGGCGAGAACGGCAATATCCATTTCCAGTGAAAAGTTAAGTGTTTCGATTGCGGGTGTCTCTCTTTCATGGCTGTGAGCAGTGTGACGTCTTCTGCATCCAGGAGCCAGCTTAACATGTTCAGTCTGATCAGGCTAGGCAGGCGTGACACACACTGGCTCAGAGACTTCACTGTTGCTGCCTGAGCTTTGATACACTCCGTGAAATGCCTGGAAATAGTCAGCTCTTGCAGGCGTGGCAGGCTGTCCAGTGCTTGAAAGAAGTTTCTATATCCTTCCTCTGTAATCTTGTGATTGATTGAAAGATTTAAGTTCTCAAGTTTCTGGAAACCTCCACTGTTTGCTACCTTGGCTATAAAAGCAAAATAGTCATGAAAACAGAATCATAAGGACTTGGATTTCAACAACAGTAGACTAGGCTATTTGAACCAACTTCCTCTCCCACCACCACCACCACCGCCACCGAAAGTAGCAAATGTTCAAAATAGTATTTTTTGGATATCTTCTTAAAAGCCCCAAAGAACTGATAAGAAAGAACTACCTGGCCCAAACCCCAGGGAGAAGCAGAAACCAGAGAAGTACAGCTAAGCCCCAGAGCACGGAAACCACTTTTCCTAGGAGGGTCTTGCCGTCCTGTGCTAATTTGGGCTTCTCTTTTGGTCTCCCAGGAGGACAGTGTCGAGGCACAGCGTGGCTGAGAAACAGGCTGAGTTAGAAGGGACATTAGAGGTTGAAGCAACCATGTCTCCCCTTGCAGAGAACAGGATGTGACATTGCTCACACTGGGTCTCCTGACTGCCTGCTACCGGGCACTCCACCTGTTGCGCAGAAGGGACCCCCGTTACTGAGACGGAGGGTTCTGAAGGATGGGGCGCCTGGGCACTTAACAGGCGGTTCTAATGTAGGTCGACTCCACTTTGGAAGTGGACGCCTAGCCAGGATTTTGTTTTTAGTTGCTAAGTCTTCCTGTCCTAATTTGGGCAAAGGTAAGGTTTGGTTTCACTCTAGAACCCAGGGCTGTAGCATGACTAACTTCAGAGGCAGAGGTACTGAGAAAATGTCTTCAGCTGTGTCCTGAGTAGGTATCTCCAGGAACATTCGAGAGCTATTTCTCCTCTCCAAACACGAAGGACCCTTCTGGAGGGACTTGTAGAAAGCCCAGACCTTCCACATTCATTCCCTTCTTTCCTGTTTTCATCATAACCCCTAGTCCGCATTGCGTAGGTCGCTGGCTCTGTGATGTGTCTGAGTGGAGGCTCCTGCGGGTAAAGTTCAAGCACTGCTAACTACTGGGAGGCGGGGGCCTGTCAGCCGTGCCCCGAAGCAGCCGTGGGGAAGCGAGCCTGCTCTATTCAATCAACACAAAGCGTGTTCCTGCTCTGCACCAGGCGAGTGTGCTGGGAAGAGAGAACACCTGCTCTCGGGGGAGAGCGACTGGGGTTCCCGGTCCCAGATCTGTGCGTGGTTCAAGTTCTAAAGAAGGCTTTGACCTAATGTAGGGAGAAGATGACAACGTAATAATTTATGTTACATGGAGATGAGAAAGACCATAAAATTTAATGTTATTCAATTCTTCCTCTTAAAGTGGGAGGAAAGAAGCTTTAAGGAAAAGGTCCTAAGTTGCTGCTTTTAGTAACATCTATAAAGTAACAGTGCTGAGCAGTGACAAACTGAGATGCAGCCTTTGGAACATGGCCTACAGAACCCTCTCCAGTCTGCCTTTGACATTACTCTCCAGTCTCTTTTCTCACAGCTAACTCCTGCCTCTTGCTCAGATGTTCCTCTCTTTTTCTCAAGTCCCTCAGATACGCCTGGTCCTCTTTCACTCCAGGCTGTGATATGAATGACTGCTCTGTTTGAAATGCTGTCTTCTCTCTCCCCTCCCAACTCTGCTTGGGCCAGCCTTACTTCAGGCCTCAACAGAAATGTCCTTTCCTCCAAGAGGCCTTCCCTGACCCCAAATTAGGTTGAGTTGTGCTGTCAGCAGAATGAGAGGAGAAAAAAATGAGAAAGAATTGGGCAGGAGCTATGTGCATACCAGCCAACAACTTCCCAAAACTGATCAAAGACATCAAGCCACAGCTTCAGTAAGTTCTACGACCCCAAGCAGAATAAATATAAAGAAAACCAGGCGAGGCATATTATGGTACAGCTGCCGTCTTAGTCTGCTCCGGTGGCCATGACAAGGCACCCCGCCTCCAAACCCAGGGGCACTGGACCTTAGGGTGGGGCTTCAACACCTGAATTTTGAGGGGACACGGTTCGGTCCATAGCAACTGCCAAAAAGTAAAGCAAAGAAAAAATCTTAAAAGCCATCAGAGTGGGGAAAGATACCTCACCTTCAAGGGCACAACAAAAAGACTGACAGCTGACTCGACAAAAACGGCGGAAGCTGGAAATGTGAAAGAAAATAAGTGGCCAAACAGAGCTCTGTACTCGCTGAAAAAAACTATTTGAAAAACAAAGGTATAAAGGTAAGGGCCAGCCCGGTGGCCCAGCGGTTAAGTTCACACGTTCTGCTTCGGCGGCCCGGGGTTCGCCGGTTCGGATCCTGGGTGCGGACATGGCACCAATTGGCAAGCCATGCTGTCTTAGGCGTCCCACGTATAAAGTAGAGGAAGACGGGCACGGATGTTAGCTTAGGGCCAATCTTCCTCAGCAAAAAGAGGAGGATTGGCAACACTTAGCTCAGGGCTGATCTTTCTCAAAAGGAAAAAAAAAAAGCAAAATAAAAGACATTTCCAGACAAAAAGTGAGAAAATTCATTACCAGTGGACCCACGTGAGAGGAAACAGTAAAGGATTCTCGAGGCAGGAGGGGTGTGAGCCCTGACAGCTGCGTGGAAAGGCAGGTGAGACTGAGGAGCAGCAGCAACAGGCCCTGTGGGAACTCTCCCTAAACAGCTGTTTAAAACAGTGCTGTCTCCTGGGGTTTCAATTTACGTAGAATTAAACGGCAACAACAATGTGAAAGGCTTGAGGGAGGTGAGCGGGATTAAGCATTCTAGCATCCTACCTTGCATTAGTGTCTAACAGCCCGGGGACGCACATCTTAATATCTCAGATACAGCGAAGAGAACGTGGAACTCAAAAGATCATAGATGGGGAAAGTGGAATAAGAAATGAAGCAAGAAAGGAGAAAAAAGGAGCATCTATCTTGTGGGACAAATAAACAGCAAACAGATATAAATTCAACTATATCATCGGTACATTAAATATAAGTAGATTAATACCCCAATAAGAAGTAAAAGATTAAGAGACTGCATTTTTTTAAACCTAGCTATATTTTTTTACAAGAGACACACCCCAAATAAAGGGCACAGAAAGACTGAAAGTAACAGGAAGAAGACGTAAGGGGCAAACAGCAGCCGCAGCCGGGTGGGTGTGCGTGTGCCGCGGTGGCGTGCGTGTGCCGCGGTGGCTGGGGTGTGCCGCGGTGGCGTGCGTGTGCCGCGGTGGCTGGCGTGTGCCGCGGTGGCTGGGGTGTGCCGCGGTGGCTGGGGTGTGCCGCGGTGGCGTGCGTGTGACGCGGTGGCTTGGGTGTGCCGCGGTGGCTGGCGTGTGCCGCGGTGGCGTGCGTGTGCGGCAGTGGCGGACTTTAAGGCGAGACACCTTACTAGAAGTAAAGAGGGCTGATCTGCCAGCAGGGTTCAATTTCTAAACTGCAGGTACCGAGCTTTAAAACACAGAGAGCAAAAACAGAACTAAAAGGGAAAGAAGACAAATCAACAATCATAATGGGTGATTTTAACACACCTTCCCGGTTACTGATAGAACAAGCAGTCAAAAAAATCAATAAAAATATCAAAGATTTGAACGGTTCTCTCAACACTTGATTTGAACTGCAGAAAACTCATTCTTTTCAAGGGAAGATGGAACATTTATCCTATTATACTAGCCCATAATACAAATCTCAACAAATTTCAGACTTGAAATCATACAGTGTATGTTCTGTGGTAACAGTGAAATCAAGCTAGAAACCAGGAACAAAAAGATTCGATAATCTGCAACTATCTGAAAATTAAGCAACACGTTTCTAAATAAGTGGAGTGGCAAAAGCATGACAACTGAAATGAGGAAATATTTGAACCAAATGAGAATGAAAATGACATGTACAGCTCCTGAGAAGGAGCTAAACCCAGAAGTCAGTGCTCTGACTCTCCAGCTCAGGAAGTCAGGACAAAAAAAGAGGAAATTATACCCAAAGGAAGCAGGAGGAGATAATAGAGGTAAGAGCAGAAAGGAATGAATGAAGATACAAAGAGAAAGATTTTTAAAATAATAAAATTGATAAACCAATCAGATAAAAAAGAGAGAATGCATAAATTACCAATATCAGGATTAAAAAGGGGTACTATTACCACAGATCACACAGACATTTTAAAAGATTATAAATATATAATATGGGCAACTTTAGATAAATTTTTTAATTTCTAGAAAAATATAACTTGCCCAAACTTACCAATCATGAAATATAAAAATACACCAATAGAAATCATCCACGATGAGATACAACTACAGAGGCATCAGAATGGCCTGAGTTGAAAGGTCTGACAATGCCAAGTAGTGGCCAGAACGTGAAACAACTGCTGGTAGGAATGGAAATTGGTACAACCAGGGAAAACTGAGTATATCTATACCATATGACTCAAATTCCACCTCTAGAAATACCTCCGTATATAACTCAAAAGTCACATAGAAGAATATTCATAGCAGCATATTCAAAGTAGCCAAATAGTAGAAACAACTCCAATTCCGATTGAATGGGTAAATAAATTGGGGTGTATGTAGTCACACAATGGAATAATACATAGCAGTGAAAATCACTGAGCTCCAGCCCGTGCGTCAACATGAATGAATATCACAAACAGAATGTTGAGCCAAGAAAGGCAGAGACGTAGGAGTACCTGCTGTGTAGGGTGCCATCACACAGAAGTGTGAAAGAGGTGAAAGTAATGTTTGGAGAAAAAATCAGTACAGTGGTCACCTTTGGGAAGGAGGGGGTGTGGTGTCAGAGGAGGGACAAATGGAGGTTTCTGGCACGTTTGTGATATTCCACATTCTAATCTGAGTGATTGTTATCCAAGCGTGCGTAACATTTTCAAGCATGTGCACTTGAAAATTCATTGAGCTGTGCACTTAGGATTTGTGTACTTTTCTGGATGTGTATTAATCTTCAATTTTAAAAAAAAGAGTACTGTAAATGGGACTGCTTGGAGGGTCTGTGGCCAGGTGTCTGAAATGCTAGGTGTCAAGAACACACACAGACAAGGGTTTGCAGAGTCTCAAACGGGAGGCTCCCTTTTCCTTCCAAATCTGACCCAGATGAAGCTAAGTCCAGAGGACACTGGAGGGAACAATAGGATGCGTTAATTGCGAAACTGAGAAAGTGGGTTGAACATTTGTTGGGGGACAAATGTTTTATAGACACTTTTCAGCAAAAAGCTGGTGTATGACCACTGGCTTTCATGCAAGCTGAAACAGTTTATCTGGGGGTGGCTCACCAATTTCCATGAGGCTGTCATCATTCAAAGTCTGGTAAAATGAGAGGACTCGGAGACCCCGAAGATGCTCACACTGCTGGACGATCAGTTTGGCCACTTGATGAACGGCATCCCCAGTAGGAAGGATCAATTCTTCCAGGTTATCAAGAGAACCTAAAGTATAGGCTGGCAGAAGAGACAGGCTAGTGTCCATCCTGTGTTCCCAAACGACGGTAGTCTACAGCCTCAAAGTCACACGCAGGCCAGGAGGCCCGTGGAGCGCAGAGGCTGTTCCACATCCTCTCCCAGCCTACACCTTGATCCTCCAGACAACCACTGCCCCCTCCCCCAACAGCCCCTCCTGCACTGCAGTCCAGAATGCCTACCCAGCTCCAGTTCCTCCTTTAGCCCAAAGCTTCCACTGGCCTCCAGGACACGCTCCTAGCTCCGCAGTGCCTTCAGCCCGCTCCCTTCCCACCCCACCTCCTGCTGTCATCCCCAGTGATCTCTACCTCTGCCCCCAGCACCAGAACCCCACAGTCCCCTACTCGCCTAGCCTTCCTTTACACTTGACCCCTCTTAGCGTGGTATGTTATGGGTCACTTGATCTCTAGAAAGTTCTCTACTTCTGAAGTCTCACGGCTGGAAATGTTTTGAACACTTTCTAGCATAAAACCAAGTTCCAGGCTTATCTTTTACTTTCCCTGTCCCAGTTCTTTATCAGCCATATTTCTCCATGGACCCCTGGTTACTTTTAGGGATGCCAATGTTTAAAAGCTCCGATCGGGGCATTTGGTGATCTTGTTCCTTCGAGGCGCTTCCTGGGCTCTCAGGTGACTGAGCCGAGAAATACGTATATGTGTGTGTCTGTATAGAGACAGACATACAGGGATCTATACACGCAGATATCCAGACATCTATGACAGTAGGTTAGAAACTTTTAGTGCACACCAGCAGTTTGACACCTCAAAGTCCTTTCCAGCCTCCTCTTGCAACATTTATAAATTCCTTCTCCATCAGAGACGAAACTTGCTCATTGTTCTCCAGGTATTGTTGCTTGGTCAATGGTTGTAACGCAGCCGCCTCCCTGGCCCTCATCCTGCCTCTGCCGCCTCCACCCTCTTGCTCCTCCCCGCCCACAGGGCCGCCTCCAAAGGCAGGAGAGAGACAGGAGGAGGACGAGGTCTCAGCACGCTATCGTTTGGGGAGCGTTACTGCTCCACCCTCATGTCTCCACCGACTCCCCTTATATTTTCCTGTGTTAAAAACAGGATGACAGGCCCCAAGTGGAGTCCCTTATGCTAAGCCCCACGTCACCAAACCAAGACTCTCCCAGAACTGGAATCTTAAGCAGTCAGTCAGGAGTGGCCTGGATCAGTTAGGTGATCTGCCTGACAGACCCCTGCCATCTTCTAAAGGAAAATAACCTCGCAGTAACCAACCCGAATTTTTGCCAGTATAACTTCCTTGTCCCGCCCCTTCTGCCTGTAAATGGCTTTCATTTTGTGCACTCCTCCTTTCCACTTCCTAGATTGGGTGCTGTCCCATTCGAATCCATTTTTGCTCAAATAAACTCTTAAAATTTTTAATATGCCTCAGTTTATCTTTTAACACCTGTTTGAATTTTTTCCACGAGCATACCTTACTTTTGTAATCATAAGAAAAGAATTGGGGAAAGTATTTGAGCTCTTTCTATAGGTACCATTTTGTTAAATCGAGGTTTTCACATCCTGAGTTTTCTTAACATTAAAAGATAGTTTTACCTGTATTCTAGAAAGTTCTGAAACAACAGGGGCTCAGCATGTTTGGAATGGGTACCTGACAATGAAATTGCATAGTGCTGTAATGACCAAGTATGTGTTCTAAGAAGTCAGTCGCTCTGATGACGTTGCCTTGAATGAGGCTGAGTGAGATCAAGGCGTCTGGAGGGTGGAAGACGGGCAGCACTGGCCCTTCCTCCTGACGCGCAGGGCAGCTAAGACCGACCACAACTGCTGTAGCTAAGGCGAAACAGGAGAAGAAGGATTGGGCGCAGGAGAATAAAGAAAAAGTAAAAGGCACTATTTTGTAAACATACCAAATTTTTCAGCTGTTTCCCTATCAGGAAATTCTTGGTGTCCAAGATTTAGCATCTTCAGAGAAGTAAAATTTGGCAAAACAATGACTATAAAAGGGAAAATAAAAATTGTCATGTCAGCTACGTCTCTTATACTAAAAAGTAATCTGCTTAAAGAGTATTTTAAAAGTGATATAAATCAATATAATAATTCAGATTGAATTAATTAGTATGACTAAGTAGATAAAACAAATCTTTGCTTGGAAAATAATTCTGATAACTAGAAATGTTTAAACTTCTAGAAACAAACTCACCTTATTGTTTGAGAATTCATTTAAGATCAGATATCTATTACAATAGTTTTGTTCTTTGACATCAATTGCATACTTAAAATTTGTTTTTAAAAAATGCTTAAAATGACTCTGTGTCCATGGAAGCATCTTAAACCAAAATTTTACGATTATAGCTCTTACCAAATGGGATAGCTTTAAAAAACCGTCCAGAAAACTTAATTTCTTTGAGTTTCTTGCAAGAAGCAAGTACAGTCATGAGAGACTCAAAATCCGAAAAGAAATTACATTGCAGGTGGAAAACTTGAAGGTCTGGAGAATTCTGAATTAATCTGACTGTAAAATATCAAAGATTTCAGAAATTAGAGAAGATTGCAAACTTCTATCAGAATTAGCCATATCATTTACATTTTGTTTCAACAATACTGAATTAAAAGAAAGGACCACAATGGAACGATCTAAGAATCAGGCCACTTTGGGCTTAGGTTTGAGTTCTCTAACTAGCAAGCCTTGTGCACTTGGGCTCGTGGTTGCTGACCCTCTCTGGCGGTCAGTTTTCTCTTCTATAAAATGAGGACATCGACTCAGTAAGGTCACCTTCAGCTTTGACATCCTAATGTCTCTAAGTTTGCACATGACATTTACCCAATAGGAATACTATACAAAGACACGAAAGCAAGGACAATGCTGAAGCAAAACCTGAACGGATGCAAAACTTGCCGAGAAATTTAAGAAAACTACCACTTCCAGCTTCAGCTGCCTAAATTTTTTTGCATGCAACTCTGCATGTCAGTTCCACAGACATTTACTTTTCCTCTGTCTGTCCTAAACCAAGGAATTGATGAAGGCTAAGTCGTTTTGCTAAATGATGTACTTAAGAAAGATGGCCGCGCAGGCTGTCCATCAACCAGGAGGATAGGCTGATGAGAAAGAGCAAGATGCTTCTGATCGCCACGGCTTGGCAGACCTCCTCCCCTGACCTGGCACATCTGTAAGTTGCAGTGTAACAGCAAGTTAAACAAAACGAAAGAAAAGAACTCTACAAACTGTTTGGAGAGGCAGTATACCAGTGGCTCAGAGCTCAGACTTAGCGGTCAGAATTCCTGTGTTCGAATCGCAGATTTACCACTTCCTTAGTTGGGTGACCTGGAGCAAATTATTTGACCTCTTTATACCTCAATTTCCCCGGCTGTAAAATGAGAATAAAAGTAGTGCCCTTCCTCATAGAATGGGCATGAGGATTAAAGGAGTTGATATTTGTCAAGTACTTAGAACAATTCCTAGCAGGTAGTAAGGACTCAGTAAGGACGAATGGCTCTCTGCTTCCTTAATGAGAAAGAATGCTATGCCCACAGTTTACCACGGAGACAGGCGGCCCCTCAGACCCAGGGAGGTTTTAATTCTTAAATAATTGTTGGCCAAGTAGCTCTTTCAAGTGCTGTAAAAATAAGTCAGTCCAAGTGCCACCCTTACCTAGTTTGGAAGGACCATGCTCAGCTGCAATACGGATCAATAATTTCTCCATATGGTGGAGATTGACGAAGTCTTCAGGAATGACTGAAAAAACATTTTGTTTATCATCCAGATCCACAGACAGCTCTTTCAGGCACAGGAACTTGTCCAAATTAGGAAAGAGTTGATCTGCAAAGCAGCACACAGCTCTCCATTATTAGTGTAAGGAGTTCCAAATGGAAAACTTAAAACTGTCTTGATTCATCAAGCTATTTTCATATGAAAACCTTTCACATACCTAAAACATTCTTTTTTAGAAAGTACATATACGAGGATACTGCTTTTTGCAGCATTTACTGATTATCTACTATATGGGAAGACCCGTGCTACTGTCTGGAGTCACAAAAATAAAAGGACGTCTCCTGAAAAATGGTGCTGAGACAACGGGACTTCCACATGCAGAAGAATGAAGCTGGACCTCTACCCCCCCACCACCATATACAAAATTAACTCAAAATGGACCCACAGCCTAAATATGAGAGCTAAAACCGTACAACTCTTAGAAGAAAACATAGGGGTAAATCTTCATGACCTCGAATTTGATAATGGACTCTTAGATATGTTACCAAAAGCACTAGCAAAAAAGAAAAAATAGATAAATCAGACTCCATCAAAACTTAAAACTTCTGTTCATCAAAGGACATTGTTGAGACAGTGAAAAGATAATCTACAGAACAGGAGAAAATATCTTCAAACCCTATGTCCAATAAGAATTTAATATCCAGAATACTGGAGGAGAATACAAATAACCCTTAGAACTCAAAACAGAAAGACAACACCATTTTTAAAACGGGCAGAGGACTTCATAGACGTGTCTCCAAAAAAGACACGGACAGCCAATAAGCACATGAAAAGATGCTCAACGTCATAAGTTATCAGGGCCATGCAAAGCCAAATTACAATGCGATACCGCTTCACAGCAACGAGGATGACTTTTGATGAAAAAACAAACGTTGACAAGGACGCAGAGCCCTCCCACGTTGCTGGTGGGAACGTAAACCACTGTCACTGAGGAAGACAGTTGGGAGGTTCCTCAAAAATTAAAATAGATTTGCTGCTATTAATAGAATTGTGTTATTAATACAATTCTACTTCTGGGTATGTATGCAGAAGAACCGAAAGCAGGGACTCAAAGAGGATTCCGTGCACCCGTGTTCGCAGCAGCATCACTCACACGAGCCGGAAGCAGCAGGGCACGTGTCCATCAACAGACGAACAGCAGATAAGCAAAATGTGATAGGTGTGGACAATGGAATATTATTCAGCTGTCAAAGGAATGAAGTTCTCGCACTCGCTACAATATGGAGGAACCTTGAACACATTATGATAAATGAAATAAGCCAGACACAAAAGGACAAATAGCGTATGATTCCACTTACATGAAATATCTAGAATAGACAAATTTAGGTGTTATCAGCGCTGGGGAGAGGAAGGAGTTATTGTTCAATAGGTACAGAGTTTCTCTTTGGGACGACGAAAAGGTTCTGGAAAAGGATAATGGTGATGGTTGCACAACACTGTAAATGTACTTAATGCCACTAAATTGTACACTTAAAAATGGTTAAAATGGTAATTTTTATGTATACTTTACCATAAGTTAAAAAGTATTTGAAAAAATGACCGAATTTTTCTAAATTTGAGGATAAATATCAACCCATAGATCTTAACAACATTCAGTGACCCTCAAGCAAGAATCTGTACAAAGCAAAGCACACCAGGCATATGACACATTGCAGAAAACCAAGGCAACACTTGCAACAATCAGAAAATGAAAAAAATTTAAATACCGTCTACGAAAGTATCAAAAAGCACAAGTACATAGGAATAAATTTAATGAAAGATGTAAAGTCTACACTGAAAACTCTCAAACATTGCTCAGAGAAATGAAAAGAGATACAAATAAATGGGAGAGCCTGCCTCCAGGTATATACTTCCCAGGGAGTACGAGCCGTTTCGTCCGTTACACAGGCAGAGCTAGGGTAATTCCCAAGCACCGCCTTGCAGATAGATCCTTCTTTTACTAACAACGAGTAATTTGTGTGCTTATTAAGAGGCTTCATTAGGTGATATTTTATTAATTTTATCGGAGTTATTTGAAAACCATTCTATTATTCAGAGGCCTTTCACAAATTCATACTGCTGACAAAAATACATCAGTGAAGGTTTACCTTACATCTATTCTCTCAGCAAGCATTTATGGCCTCACGCTTTCAGAAGTTTTCATCCCCCTAAAACTAAGGGTGTGAAAATAAACTTGCGTCTCAGACGGGCCATCCTAACCATATTCCGTGTACCTCGTAGCCAGGTGGTCCCTGAGACTTCCAGAGACTCCAGGGAAGTCAGGGTGAGAAGCAACTCCTGATCGGCTGCGCTCAGCTCAAACCTGCTTATGGAGCACTTGGTGAATGAGGCCTTGTATTGCTCGAGGGCCGGGCGGACGCTTTCCAGAAAGCCCCTGCTGTCGTTTAGGTGGAGTTCGATGTGCTGTGAAGCTGAGAAAACTGCCGTTAGAACCCTGAGCATCTCCTGGTCCACAGCGTCGATATCAGTCACGTGGACTTCCAGAAGGGGAATCTTGTATGGCTTTGGAGAAAGTTTCCAATAGCCAGTGCTGATGTCTGGTGGTGCATTGAGTTGCATATCCAGAAAACTCTTCACGTTTTCCTCTTTTTCTGCTAAATTCTGCTCCCATTCTTTCGCCGGTTCAAAGGCAGAAGCATAGTCCTGATCGATAGTCGGTGCCTGTGATTTGTCCAAACACGTTTCCAGGACTGAAAGATCTAGTCTGCTTGACTTCCTTCCTTTTATCGAGAACTGGATGCTTCTCAACAACAATAGGCTTTCGGGGTGGTCAAAAAAGTACTGTGACTTAAGCATATTGAAAGTCAGGGTTCTCCCTTGAAGGAATCTCAAAATAAATGGAGAACATGCAGCAAGAGCATTGCTTTGATAAGCGATTTTTATGGCAAGAGCAAGTAAATGTTCTGAAACCTGGGAAAAGTAATATTTTGGAGATAATTGCCACAACACCCTAAAATATTCCATGTGCACTGAAATTTCTGGACGGTGTTTCAGGTAGTCATCAGATTCAAGTATATTCTCCAAGGACTCTTTCTTATCCACCAAACGAAGCAAATGAGAGACAACTTTTGGCCCTGCCTTTGTTGAAGCGTGACAGGAGACATAGTTGAAAAAATTGCTATAGGGAATTACAGCCATCAGGGATGAGTTAACTTCTCTCAAGTAATGAAGTCCCAATTCTCGATCTTCTTGCCTGTCCGAATCCAGGAGTTCAGTCAGCCTCATGCCAGCAAGAAATTCTTGGAACGCAGGACTTAAAAACTGATAGACTGGCCTCAGTCTCTGTGCTGTGGATTTGCTCATCAGGCACATGGCCAGATCTTCGTCTTGATCAACCCCTGCTTCCACAAGGTCGTCATCGCGAAACTCAAAGCAAGATGAAAAAAATCCTTTCAAGGCCAGCTCCCCACAGGAGGACACAGTTGCCCTGAGAAGGTCAGCCGTGGTTTTGTACTTTAAGAAAAGGCATTCCATATAGGACTTGAAAACAGCCACGTCATCAAAGGACTGGTCAAGAGGATGCCGAAACCAGTGAGCACAGACTGCCACTACAAAGAGCGGAGTTTTCTGGATTCCCTGCAAATTTTTGTTCTTTCCAAAATGAATCATAAAGTTTCGCAGGCGGATCATGTTGTGTGAAAAGAGCTTCCGTAATATATAGATCGAATTATAGAAGGGAAACGCTTTGATCTCGAGAATCGTGTGTAGGTGTCGGTGGATGGCCCTGGCCCTGCTCCTACGGACCCCGATCAGTAAGCAGGTCCTTGACGAGTGGTTTCTTTGAATCAGCTTTTCTATGACGCGGGGGACTGAGCACATTTCTCTGAAGTCATCCAAAAGAAACAACACCTGATTCTTTAACTGCTGGATGATGGGCCTCAAGGACATCTCAGTGACAGAGTCTTCTGTCTCCAGGAGTTGGTCACAAAGGATGCTGGCCAGCCCCTGGTCCGGTCTGGCAGAGCTAAGGGAGACATAGAAGACCAGCTGGAACCTGTTTAACAAGGGGCAACCTCCTGATGCCCAGAGAAGAGCTATTCTCTTCAGGAGGACCGTCTTTCCACTACCAGCTTCACCCTCCACACACATGACAGAGTTCAAGGTGGCAAAGACCTCAGGCAACACCACAGGCTCTTGCACATGACTGCCGATGCGTTTTGAAGCGAGGGACAGGTCACAACCCAGCAACTGGTCAGTGGCTAGGCAGGGAGCGACTTCAAGCAAAGACGTGTTGCAGAAACGGGCGCTGGTGTAGGCTTTTCTCAGTCGCTCACTCAGACCCTTTGCCTCCTGAAACCACTGCGCTTCACCCTGGGCCATCTCTGCGGAGAGAAGAAAGGAGGCACGGCTACAAATACTCTTGCTTTGAAATGCCCGCCATCCAAAGAGACGCACACCTGCATACGATCCCCGGTGGTACTTCAGCATCCTCACCTGGCGCTGGAGAACTAACGGCTGCTGAATCCGCAAGATTGCTTTCACATGTGGCTTCCTTTGAAAATAAAATCCTCGATTGAATGGAGATTTGTGTAAGGGAGTGGGGGCATCATGTTACAATTAGGGACCAAACAACCTCTAAACATAGCCCGCCCTCAAACATATACGCCAAGCGGAGGGAGGGGCGCCACAAATAGAAAACAATAAGTGATCTGCAAACAGCTGCATGCGCGCTCCCACGTGGCCACACGCACTGCGCTCCGTGGGTGAATCAAGCCGTGATTACATCCAGATAGTAGAGTCACAGCGTTCAGAGCAAGGCGGACGCTCCAAAAATCATCAGGTGCAGCTTCTGAACTTAGTTTTTATTTTTACATTTGTATTATTACATACCTAGGATATAGGAAGGTTATGTTCCATCCTTAAAAAATAAGCTATTTATATGTCCCCAAACTTTTTTCTTCAATTTCATTTTTTAATTTACAAATATAAAAGATGAATCAAGTGAATAGCAAGTTACTTTGTTTTCTTTTTATGGGATGGCAAACGTAATATGCCTAACATGCAGCCTCAAATAAGGTGTGTGTGTGCGTGTGTGAAATTGATAGTGGCTTACATCCCAGAGAACTGGGTAAGATTTCTCAGTTTGAAGGGGTCAGCCTATTACCTGGATTTATGATTTGGCTGGTCATTTGCTTTTTACAAGACACATGTCTTCCCAGCCCTGAGAAGGGCCAAGTGGCAAGTCAGACCACACTCTTCCAGGCGCAGGTCACAGGTGGGCTCCAGGTAGCCTGGGAGCTAATCAGCTCTAAGACCCAGAGTCTGGGCCCCAAAGTACAAAAGACTGACTCCACATTTCGTGGGGCTCGGTATCACATCTCTGTGGTTTATCATAGCATCCTTGTCCGCACTTAGACACGATAGGTGCTTAATGGACATTGGTAGAATTTATGTATTTACTTATTTATGATAAGTAATTCGTGTTCAAAACCAGTTTTTGATTACGTGATTGGGTACTGCTAAAATAAACAAGGTAGTGTTGTTGATTACCGCGAATCCAGCAAGTTCACCACGGCTCTGGAGGTCTGGAGTCGCTCCTGCAGAGGACTTCATATTTTGGAGAAACTGACAACTAAGCACAAAGGTAAAAGTTATAAAAATAGTTGTATGCAATTAAGTATTTGTATTAGGTTTTTAAAAGCACTGGCAGAGTTTTAGTGGCAGAAATTAGCACAAAATTAACATTTCCAGTGATTCTGTCAGCATTGTTCTCAAACGGGGCATTTCGACTGGGGCTCTCAGCAACAGAAACATAAACAGTTTATGAAGTAATGGTGGGGATAACCAGCAAACGTGGTGGAATGAGTGCATACTTAACACTCTCCCGTGAAACCAACTAAAATGAACCTAAGGAATCAGAAGTAGAGAAGAAAACTCCATTTCTGGATTCTGGCACAAAAAAAGGACATCAGTAGAAAAACTGGTGAAATTCAACTAAAGTCTGGCATTGAAAGTAATGTGCCAGTGTTGGTTTCTTAATTTTGACAAATGTCCCATGTGATGTCAGATGTTGGAATGAGGGGAACTTGGACGTGGGGATATAGGAACTATTTGTATTATCTTTGCACCTTTCTCTAAATCTGAAATTATTCCCCGATAAAAAGTTATTAAAAAAAAAACTCGATAATATGAAGACTAAAGAATGGCCACAAACATATTCTCTGAAAACTATTTGCCAGACATCATGAAACCAGGACATCTAAACTCAGGTAGGATGTCTGTCTGAAGAACCAACGGAGAAAATTCTAAAGAGCTCTCTGCACAAAGATTAACTTGAAGGGATGAGAACTACAAATGTAAGTAGGTAAATGGGAAAACTAGGAACAACCAACTGTCTTGGGCTCATTTTCATGCTGCAGAACCACAGGACAACAGGAGAGAAGGCAAGAGGACACTCCATTTTTATATTCCTAGATGGCTAGAGATGAGTCCAGGAATAGAAGGGTCGCCACAGGGAAACAGCAAGCAGGACTTTGAATGTCTCTGTCCACGGCCGCTGTGCAGGCAGACCCATCAAGGAAAAGGGCTCTGAGGAAAGGTAAAATACAGACTTTCCCATACTAACGAAGCCAATATAGCTAGTTGCCTGTACAGGTGGAACAGTTAGCTGCCCCGCACTGCACAGAGGAACTTCTTCAGTTAAAAGGAAAGTGATGACAGGTGGAAACTTGTTTCTACCCAAAGGAACGAAGAGTGCCAGGGATGGTAACTAACTGGGGAAATATAAAAGACTTTTCTTTTTCTCCTTTTAAAATGTATTTAAAGGATAATTGTTTAAAGCAAAGATGTAACACTATATTGTGCGATTTATAATACATGTGGAAGTAAAACATACGACAACAATAGCACAAAGGATAGGCGGGGAGAGATAAGAGTCACTGTTACACGGCTCAGACTTTGTATGTCAAGTGTTGTAACGCTATTTGAAGATGACTGCAATGTTAAACATGCATACTGTGAATTCTAGAGCAGGTTCTAAAAAGACAAAATAAAGACGTGTGACTAATACGCCAACGTTAGAGATAAAACGGAATACTAAAAAGTACTCAAAGAAGTCAGGAAAAGAAGAAACGAAGAAGAGCTGGGATAAAGAGAAAACAAATAGCAAAACAGTAGATTCAAATCCAATCACATCAATAATTACATTAACGTAAATGTTCTGAACCCTCCCATCAGAAAGCAGATATGGTCCAACTGTTGAAAAAGCGAGACCAACTATGTTTCCTACAAGAAACTCATTTTAAATATAAAGTCATAGATAAATTAAAACTAAAGTGATTTCAAAAAAGGCATACCTGTAAAAATTAATTCTAGGAAAGCTGGAGTGGCTCTATTAATATCAGATAAAGACTTAAGACTAAGAAATACTATGAGGGATAAAGAGGGACATTTCATATATTCTCTCGATATGAAAGAGCAAAGAGCAAAGAATACCCAAGACATGCTCCTGAGGAAAAGAACAAGGAGACTTTACGGGAAAATATGAAAACACACCCAACATTATGCATAACTGAAGTGACAAAAAGGAAAATTCGTGCACTACCAAGTTAGTGAGGAAGCAGACCAAAGGAAACTCCTCCACGCTAGTGGGAATGAGAATCAGCACAACCGACTAGAAAAAAGTTTTGCATCATCTAGTAAAGCTGACTGTCTGCAAAGCCTGTGACTCTGCAACCCCCCGGTTCATTGTGTGTCCTAGAGAAACCCACAGGAGCTGAGAAGTAGGTACAAGAGTGTTCATAGTGGCATTTTTTGAATTTGCAGCACTCTGAACACCACCCAGATGTTGAACCAAGAATATAATGGGTAAATTATTATATATTCATAAAATAATATACTATATAGCAGTGAAGACAGTGAACTACAACTTTACACATAATTATGGATGAGTCTCCAAACAATGTGGAGCAAAATGAGGCAATCACGGAACTGTGCAGTATGCTTCCATGTATTTGAACATCTAAAAAAGGCAGTTAACTACGTTGAAGGATACATATCTAGTTGGCAAAATCATAAAGAGAAGCAAAGGAATCATTAACCCAAAATTCAAGATAACATTTCTCTCTGGATTGGAGGGACAAGGATATAATCGGGATCGGGGCAGGGCGAGCACCGGACGGCTTTGTAAGGCATAGGTAATGTTCAGCTTCTTCCCTCTAGTGCTGGGTTCACTGGTTTCTTTTGTGATTGTCCTTTAAATCCTACCTAAATATTTGAGGCGCTCCTTTAGAGGCATCCTAGTTTGCAATTTAAAAAAAGCAGGCAGAGGAAGAGTAAAAATCCACACAAAAAGGGAGTTGATAGATTCCAGAAAAAGTTCTAAAAAAATTAGACTGCACCCTAGAGCATCCTTTCAAGAATCAAGAAGAATATCCTCACTGTTCTCAGTAATTTACTAAATATTAAATCCAAATAAGAAAGAAAAAAAAGCAACTACTTCTGTCAAAACACCTTCAAAGCAGATTGAAAAAGTAGAGTTTGCAATCAAAGGATTAAGGATCAGAAAGGCGTGAACTTCTCAGCAGTCACATGGGCAGCTATTAGAAAATGCAGCAATGTCTCATAAATTAGAATTAGGATACCTCCCAACCTAGAATTCTACAGCTAGCTGAACTACCAAACAAGCGTGAGAATACATATTTATTCAGATACAGGCATTATATGCAAGCTAAAAACAGGCATCTCTTATGCAGACTTTCCCAGCAAACTGTAGAGGAGTGTTCCACAAAATCAGTGAATAAACCAAGAAAAGGATGACACTGGATCCAGGAAACGGGAGCTACACCACGAGAGAGAGGCAATAGGAATCCCCAGAATGACTATGAAGACAGATCCCAGGATCCTAGGATGTCTACAGGACAAGTAGTTCACGCTGGAGTAGGTCAGAAGACTTTATGACAGACTCCTTGAAGAAAGCGAAAATGATACGATATCTTACAGGCCCGAGTCACTGGATGAGAGATTTAAACATTTGGAGAATTGAAGAATTGAGGGAATTGGAAGATGAACTTGTGCTAAATACATAAAAAACTAAGAAAATGGCTATACTTAAAAAAAAAAAGGAAAGCAAGTGTTTTTGAGGATATGGAGAAATTGAAATGAAATTGAAATTACTCAGTGATTAAAAACAGAATTAAGTACTCATACATGCTATGACATGGATGAACCTCAAAACATTATGCCAAGTGAAAGAAGCCGGATGCAAAGGTCATAACGTGTGCTTCCATTTGCACAAAGTATCCGGAACATGCGAATCCATAGAGAAGGAAAGCAGATCGGTAGCTCTAAGGGGATGGGGTGGGGAGGGAGATAAGGAGTGACAGCCTAATGGACACAGAGTTTTCTTTTGGGGTGACGGAAATGTTGTGGGATTGGATGGAGGGAGGGGTGGCTGCTCCACATTGTGAATGTGCTAAACGCCATGCGCCTGGATTGTGCACTTTCAAATGGTTAATGTGTGAATTTCACCTCAAAAACCAAAACACTAAGCAAACACACTAACAAGACAGTTATTGCTTCCTAAAAAATTAAAAGTTGTACAGCGAGGGCAAATGAACCATGATTTACTACAAGGTCCAGCTCTGCACAGCATTCATGCCATCATGACAACGTAAACAGGTAAACATATGATCTAACCAACTACGCAACATGTATCACGAGAGCAGGGAGTGGGAGAGAGAGGCTCCCCCTTCACAGTGTGGATGTGGGTGGGGGCAAAGACTTAATCGGAAGAGAAATGAGGGCAAGTTGTCAAACTACATCCAAACTCAGACTCGAAACCTTCGTTCCACGCACTTGGGAGAATATTTGGTGTGATCTTCTACTGGGTCATCGCCTTCCTTCCAATTCTCCAAACACACTCCACAGGAAAAGCACTGGACTACGTCCTTTACTCCTGGAAGGAAAGAATTTCAATCAGTGCCACTGGCGTGCGTATTTGTTAAGTGACACAGATAATAACCACAGGCCTTTATTAGCAAAACCCAACTTGCATTTCCAATCAGATATTGTGACAAAGTCAGAACGTGGGTCACCAATGAGGCAATATTCTATTTAGGACTCTTCTCTCACCAATGGGGTGATGAGCAAGTGGTCACTGAATGCTCCTTGTACCATGCGCTTTGAGGAACACCTCGCCCCATTCCATCCTCCTTCTGTGGGAGCCAGAGACTTGCAAATCAGAATGTGGAGCTGAAGCTCCATGAAAGAAGAGATGTTTGTCTGTTTTGCTCCCTAACGCATCTCGAGGACCTGCCTGGCACTCATCAGGCTCTCGATATGTATTTGTTTAATAAACAAATCACAAAAAATATATTTAGAGCTCTGGGAAAAAAATATGAGGGAACGCAGCAGCCCTTGTGTAAATAAGTTCATGAAGATGCCAATGCCTCTTCCTGCGCCATTGCCAGCTTTACTCCACCAGAAACAGGGTCCAGTCTCCTTGTGAGACTGTAATTCTTTGGAAGGAAATCAGCATTTGGATCCACCGAAGGATCGAACTAGAAGCGGAGCATCACTGTCTTCCTTCCACTCTTGGACCCCTGTGGGGACTGCAAAGCTAGGGCAGAGGAAGATCTCCTTTTGTGTCTGGACAAAAATATGAGGTTCTGGAGCTTACGAGACCCTAAAAGGGTCAGATGACTCAGATTTGTGGGGAGAAGTGGAGGCCCTTGAGGAAGGCGGGGAAGAGGAAGACGGAACGGAGAGAGGAGGAGAAGGGGTGGGGCACCGCCCTTCCAAATGCGTAAGATTGGGAGGCGTGAAGACTTTCTGGACCAACGGGGTATGTCTGCTAGACAAAGTGACCACATTCTCCTCGTCTGCACTGCTCTGTGATATTTGTGATGCCTGCCTGACCTCTCGGTAAAAGATCTGTGTGGACCTCCACTGTAGCTCAGTGCCTGTGTTCGGTCTGAAGAAGCCGCGAGGTCCCTAGGGCACAGCATCCATCCTCTGGTCACCTTACTGCACCCCCGGCGGAGATTCAGCTGAGGGCAACAGGCCACTCCGGACTGCAGAGTGGGACTTCTGGATGACCAGCAGTTAAAGACAGAATACTGTGAACTGACGGAAGGTTCTAAATGCTTAGGAATCAAAGATTTCCTGACTTTCTCTTCCAGGGAGAGTGTGGCAAAGACTGCTATCCACAGTCCCAGTGTCTCTCATTCTTCCATACTAACAGAAACCCCAAGTTGTAGCTGGGCACATTGCCACCCAGGAAAAAGATGAAAAGTCCCAACTCTTCTTATAGCTGAGTATGGCCATCTGACTCTTAAGTTCTGGTGAAGGAGACAGAAAAGCGGAAGGGTCATGTGACAGTTTCCAGGGGTGTGGGGAGTAAGGGGTAGAAAGTAAAAGATATGATAATTATCCCAAACAGAATACCTGTATTCACTGTTGGTCCAGACCTTAAGGTTTCAAGTTTGGAGCTTCTCTACCTAAGGGAGGTGTGGAACTGAGAGAGGACTTATGATTCAGGGAGGAAAGGAACGAAGAGAAGAGAGGAGGTTGTTGAGTGTAGATAAACGCAGGCCCAGCCTCGTGAGGCAGATGTGGGGTTCCAAGGGGAGCACGGCAAGGGCCTGGTGCAGCTCCTGACTCACCCGTGTAGAAAAGGCCTGCTTTGGCCAGAGCCGCGGCTCCCACGGGGGAGGCAGGAGGCCAGTTCTTAAAAGAGTCCAGTCGCAGTTCTCCATTCGCAAAGATGCTGTCACTGGAATAAGCTTGAGTAAAAGGCACATGGTGAGACCAGCGAGCTTTGATGTCACAAGTGTGAGTGTTCAAGTCCTCCCCTCCTATTTACAGATGGACCATGTGACGTGTGGCGTTTGCTTCAATAGAATCGCAGGAGGGGAAAGAAGAAAGGTGTCTAGATGCGGCGGGATTGACCATGTGCTGCCTGTTGGAGCAGAGTGGTGGGTATATGCTGGGTGTACACTACTGTCTTATTTCTGTGTATGTCCAAAATTCTCTGCAATAAAGTATTTCGAAATTCTCTATCATCTAGCATCAGAATAAAATAAGAAAAAGCTAGAAGAGAGTACCCCCCCCCCCCCCCCGCCAAGTTAGTGCCAGGATTGGAGAAAGGCAATTTCCTTGTAGCTCCCTTAAGAGCAGGCAGATTTATTTCTTCCCTTTGGGGTGTCCACTCTATGGAGTGGCCTCCGTTAGACTTCCGCCTGGTGCTTTGGTTCCTGTCTTCTGCACAACATGAGGACTTGAAAATTTATGTTAACTTGGTTCTGCAAATTTCCTTAAGAGGAAAGCTTGTGTCAATGTTTCCCTTAGCCCCAGGATTCCTGCTGTCACTTCATTTTTAATCTGAATATTATTTAATGGATGGCAAAAACCTCAATCCTTTCCTCCTGTGTGTCTCCTTTACTCCCACATGACTATCACACTCACTTCTCACACCAGATGTGTGGCCGTTTTCCCCACAACAGCAAGTAAGTGTCTGACACCAGCTGGGTGTCCTACAATTTAACTCGATTCTGACACTGTCTCCCCTGAGATAGCGTCAGACCCCACAGGGTAAGGGCTCAGTCCCACAGGACTGCTCCTCCCCCACTGCAATTATTAGAGTGGCTCACAGAACTCAGGGAAGCACTTACTTAGGTTTACTACTTTGTTAAAGGACATGATAAGGACACAGATGAACAGCCAGATGAAGAGATGCACAGGGTGAGGTCTGGGAGGGTCCCGAGCACAGCAGCCCCCATGCCTGTGGCGTTGGGGTGCGCCCCCCTCCCAGCGAGGACGTGCTCACCAACCTGGAAGCTCCCTGGACCTTCCTCACCAGGCTTGATGGATTATTAACTCCGTTTCCAGTCCCTCTGCCCTCTGTGGAGGATGGGGGTGGGGCTGACAATCCCAAGCTTCTAATCATGGCTTGGTTTCCCTGGAGACAAGCCGCCATCCAGGAAGCACCCAGAGTCACCTCAGTAGACCAAGAGATGCTCCCGGTGCTCTTAGCACTGCGGGGTTTTCAAGGGCTTCAGGAGCTCGGTGCCAGAGACCAATAGAAATGTTTTCTATTATCTCACACTTAATTTGTCAACAAACATTAATCCATTTAAGGATGTTTTCAAAAACATTTTATCCAAAAATTTTGCTTTAAGGGAAGTGTCACTCGAGGACCCAGCCCTGCATATTTCCCAATGCGCATTTATGCTGAAAACCTGAGTCACTCCAGAAGACCAGAAATCTCTTATGAAAATAGTTTTTTAAAAAAATGATTTATGGCACTGTAAAATGAGGAGGGAAATGGAAAGGTTTTTAAAAAAATGAGGAGAAACAAACAGAAAAACGTAACAGAAGAAATGAACAAGCCAAGCCTTTGGAGCATGTCTGAGTCTTTACCTGACACCATGGGTACCACCCTCTTGACCCAGGAATTCAGAAAATGTTCTCCCTGAAGGAAAGGGAAATGCCAGTTATCGCCTGTTTGACTGGGAGTAGACACCTACCCGTGAATAAAAAGGAAAGAACGTGTCCCCAGAAGTGAAGAGTTTCATTGGCTTGAGTGGCAGGGTTGTTGGAGAATCGTTCCTTTCTTATTTCTATTAATGTTGGAATTTTTTATGCAGTGCAAAAGAACCTGTGACTGGTTGTTTATACCCAACAGAAGCCTTCTCGGGGTACGTTTCCCGAAAACGCAGCTCAAAAGCGGAGATCCGTTGAGACAGCATGGATGTCGTTCAACTGATGGGGAAGGATGAACCACAGGAAGGAGTGACGGGCAAGGATGAGATGCAGGAGGGACTGATGGGCAAGGATGAGATGCAGGAAGGGGTGACAGGGAAGGACGAGACGCAGGAAGGAAGCTGGACTCAGCGGGGTGGTAGGTGTTGAACAACTGCCCCTTCTCTGACAAGCACCCGATTCCTTTCTGAGAAAACACTCCTCCGCCACTGTCAGGCCAGGTTCTCTGCGGGTTTCTCATCTTCTGGGTGACGTTAGCCAAGGAATTCTTTTTTCACTAAGCCATATGGATTGGCTTTCCCGTCACCTGCCGTGAGGACATCCTCACTACAGAGCATAAAGTGACTGGGTAGGAGCCTGCTGTGGGTGATGGTGCTGGTCCCAACGTCTCAGCAGGCCTTCCAAGGGGGCAGCCAAGGGAAGCTGGGCAGGCGGCTTCAGCCAAAGGGGAGGACTGTCAGGAAGGCAGGCAAGCGATCAAAGGCTGCCCCAGAGAAAGAAATTCTGAGGGCTCTAGTTCAGCAAGAGAAAGTGGTTTTCTTTACTGTGCCAGACGAAGAGCAGGCAAATGAAAGAAGGGAAGGAGAAAGGGGGAGAGCCCATGACAAGGAGAGAATGTCCCTCCACAAGCCAGGTACGAGCCATGAGAATGCCCCCCAAACCAGGCACGGGTTACGAGGCAATCATGCCAACCAGAGGACAAATCTGCCATTACAACTTACCGTGACGCCAACAAACCCCTCGTAGCTTTGAATATACTGGGCAATCTCCTCCGAGGACTTCTTACTTTGAAGAAATTCACACCTATAATTAATAAACGGAATAAAAATTTACCCCGATACTCTGACATAGTGGTCCTATATCTCTGTTATTGTGGTGAAGGGTAAACACTAAAACTACTGAATTGTATACTTAAAATTGGTGAATTTGGGGCTGGCCCCGTGGCCGAGTGGTTAAGTTCGTGCACTCCGCTGCAGGTGGCCCAGTGTTTCGTTGGTTCGAACCCTGGGCACGGACACGGCACTGCTCATCAAACCACGCTGAGGCAGCGTCCCACATGCCACAACTAGAAGGACCCACAACGAAGAATATACAACTATGTACTGGGGGGCTTTGGGGAGAAAAAGAAAAAAATAAAATCTTTTAAAAAAATTGGTGAATTTTATTATACTTCAATGAAAACTGTCAAAAAGTTTACCCCAAAACTTATTTCTGAGAATCATCATTATTCTCATACAATTATTCTGTGTTTCAGTTGGGGCCAACATGTAGAATAATTTAAAATTAAACTTCAGATTATTTTTTCTCTTGAAACAAAATATATAATACAATCAAAGAGACTGATTTACAGTAATATAGGCTGGGGTTTTCACTGTTTGTTTAATGAAACTCTGGTGACTAAACCTAGTTCCTGTGGTTATATGAAAGTTACCGGCAGTGGGGGGAACTGTATAAAAAATAATAATATTTCATCTGTTGAACAAAATACATCACCACTTCTTAAAAAAAAACAATGAAAATTAATTTTGAATTTTTTTTAAAAAAAGCGTATCAAATACCATCCAAGAAAACACATTCCTTTCCAGGAAAAAGCAGCAATTTTTAGATTAACTTTAAAAAGTCCCTGTAATTCAAATTAAAGGCTCCTTTCCCGTGGTGGTGCAGTAACAAGTGGGCTGGGAGTCAAGAGGCGAGAAGGTCAGTCCCAGTTCTGCCTCTAATGGGGTAGGACCGGTCTTGTCATTCTTCTCTTGGAATCGCACGGGAAAATGAACTCCACTAGATGGCTCACACATTGCTTCAGGGCCGCCAGTGCAGGGCAGCCGGGGTCCCCAGGTTCCCGGTGGACAGATCTTCAGGGATTGTCCTGAATCTGTAGTAACCCACCGAGCACACCAAGGACAGAGCAAGGCCCTGCCCACGTGCTTATGGAGTGAGGAAGCACTCTGTATTGGTACTTTCTGAAAAAACTACAGTAAAATCAACTTACATTTATTGAGTACCACATTTTAAAAGGTGTTACGTATACTCGGACATTTTTTCCATGGTTTAGAAAAGAGGGGGCTGGCCCCATGGCCTAGTGGTTAAGTCCAGCGGGCTGTGCTTCATCGGCCCAGGTTTGGTTCCCAGGCGCGGGCCTGTACCACTTGCTGGTGACCATGCTGTGGTGGTGTCCCACATACAAAATGAAGGAAGACTGGCACAGATGTTAGCTCAGGGCAAATCTTCCTCAAGTAAAAACAGGAAGACTGGCAATGGATGTTAGCTCAGGGCCAATCTTCCTCAAGCAAAAACAGGAAGATTGGCAATGGATGTTAGCTCAGGGCCAATCTTCCTCAGCAGAAAAGAAAAGAAAAGAAGCAACATGGCCAGTCTGTAACACTGAATTCCAAGCAGCTCAGGAGGGAGCAAGCAACAGGAATCTCAAGGTCCTGAATCCTAATTCCAGCTCTCAGATGGACGGGCTCACCACGAGCTCACAATGATCAAAGGGTGAAAGGTCAAACAGCCATCTTCACTAACGTGTAGCTTTCACAAGGCCTTCGCTCCATATGCTTTATTTATAACCCTTACAACCACCCACCAGCTATATCTTACCATTTGCATTTTGCATCCGAGACTCAGAGTCCAGTAGCTTGTCCGGGCTCTGGGGCTTAGGAGGCAGCTCTGTGCATCTCCTCCGCCTCTGTGCTCACCCTGCCCTGCTCCGTATCTGCAGCCCTCAGCCCCTTCCTGCTCTGAGGCTGGTTCTGGACTCACATCTTCTCTCCCGTGCGTCCTACCTTTCCCTCAGCCCTTATCAGGAAAGGGATGCCATCGCCACTCCAGGAGGACATGCGACTCCAGCTGGTGCCAGTCACATGGTGGCCCATGTGAACGGTGCCCAGTGTGTAACCCAGCGACACTGAGCATGTGGCCCTGAGCAGATGTGAATGAAACCTGAGCAGAGACAGGCGCCAAGAGCCAAGAACACTGAGCCCGGGCTCATCCTCACCGGGTGCGTACCCACACGGTGAGCTGGGCACTACGAGTGGTTGGGGGTCTATCCTGACGCGTCAAGGAGCCAGAGTGACATTCAAAGTATTTGCCAGTCTGGCTTCATGCATCCTAATAACTGTCTCATCCCTTGTCAGGAGGAGCTCGCCCTTGCCCTCGCCCTCCGCCCTCCCCTCCTTTCTCCTCTCCGCCTTGGTTCACTTCCTCCCTCCCACCCACCTCTCTCTCTAACTCTCTCTCTTTTTTTTGTTGAGGAAGATTTGCCCTGAGCTAACATCTGTTGCCAATCTTCCTCTATTTTGTATGTGAGCCGCCCCCACAGCATGGCCACTGACAGACGAGTGGAGTAGGTCCACACCTGGGAACTGAACCCAGGCTGCCCAAGCGGAGTGCACCGAACTTAACCACTAGGCCACTGGGGCTCACTCTCTTTCTTTTCAACTACAAAATTTAAACATGATAGGAGCGAACAAAGAAAAACGTGCAAATCCCCCTTCCCTCCGTCTCCTGACAGACCCAAACCCAGAGATACCTATTGTTTGGTTTATATCCTCTCATAACTTTTTAAATATGTTTTCAAACAAGTCCGTATATAGGTTGAGTGGTTTTAAACATTTTTTAAAGTCTTATACTACACATTATTTTGCACATTGCATTTTTCACGTTATCACAGACATCCTTCGTTTCTGTGAGCACGGCTGTCCACGTGCAAGATGACTCATAAACGTCAACACTGCCCAGCTGTTTTGTTGACCTCTGATCCAACCAGCAACTTCTTTGCATGTAGTAGGCGTACGGCAAATATTCGTTAAAGAAATGGAAAATGAGCCTCACGGCACTGCTAGATCCGAGCGTTAGGTCACAGGAAACACAGGAAGTAGAGAAACGTTAAATGATGCCATAGAAACACATCCAGCCAAACAGAGGGCAGGGCGTCTCACGGGACAGACCACACGGCTTCTTTCACACACAGATGACAAGAAGGAGAGAGGCCAGGAGGAGGACGCCCGGAAGTGAGAAATCTTAAGAGACACAGAAGCTGTCACACATGGACCTTGTTTGGGGGGGTGGGGGGGGGGGTGGACATTTGAACACTGACTGGGATGTTGGATGATATTGAGGAATTACTGTTAATCCTTTTTAGGAGAGGTAATGATATTGTGGTTATGCTTTTTTAACTTATTTTTATATTTTAGCATTATATACTAAAATATCAACAAGTGACATTGTATGATGTCTGGGGTTTGCTTTGAAATAATCTGATTATTATTATTTCCAGGGGAAAAGTGGACAAGAGATGGATGAACTTTGCTTTGGCGTGTGTTGCTAAGAGTTTGGTATACTGTTCTTTTCTGCATCAAACTTTCCATAGTGAAAGTTTTAAAAATTGTTAAAGGAACGGATCTGTATTTGGCAGATACGAAGTCACGTAGAAAATAACAGTAAATACAGCATTATGAACAATACACTTTGTACATGTGACAAAAATTGATGAAAATACACTTTGTTTCCTAAGCAGGGAACTAAAGACTACTGCAATATATAATCAAAACTGCGTTTCTGAAATAAACGGTTTTCATTTGGTGTCTTTTCAGCAGTACGTGAAAGCATTTGTAATAACGTTTTAAACACTAACTTTTCAACTTCCTTTAGACACTATTTATTTACACCACGCCTATGTGAATTATTCTTATTTATTAAGGCAGATCCTGCAATTTCTGCTTGGCAACACGTATCTCAGTATTCGAGACAATAAGACAACATTTAAGAAACTTTTAAAATGATATAACTCAAAATCTTCACGATGCAATCCGGCCTTTCTTGCTTGAACAAATTCTAGAGTGTTCCAATTTTGGGTAGGGAAAGATCAAAACTGAAGGTGCTACTCCGGGAAGGTGACTTGTCTTTAGTTTTGTCCTTAACAACAAAAAAGGATAATTATGAGCAAAAAACATTTATCTACTTACTTGGGGAACCACTTGGCGTGTTCCTTCCAAGGGTCGTCTCCGTCTTCCCAGTTGCCCAAACACCCCCCGCAGGAGAAGCACTGCGCGGCGTCCCGGCTGCCTGCGCGGAGGGCACAGTGAGAGGCTCGGCGGCGCGCGGTGGCCCGAGGTCGGTCCGGAGCTGGCGCTCTGCGCTCGGAGGAGACGCGCCCGCGCGGCCACCCGCGCATCCTCTCGCCGGCCGAGTCCCCCCCGCAGCCCCGCTGCCCTAAAGGACCACCCGGGACCCCACGCCGCCCGCGGCCTTGCTGCTCGGACAGAACTCAGGCTGCGGGGCGGGGCGGCCCTCCCGACGGCTGGTGCTGGCCGTTGGAGCTGTCAGGGCGCAGGCCAGGGAGGCAGGGGTCCCCCAGCTCCCGAGAAGGACGGCCCGGCCAGAGGGCTGAGCGGTAGTTTGCCATGAAATTTCGCTGGGAACTTGGCACATTTCTTAAACTTTGAGCCCCAGTGACTCGACCGTGACGTGGGGGCAGGGGCAGGTGGTTGGATGAGAATGAGGGCGGCACCCGCGCCAGCATCAGCGGGCGCTCGGGACCGCAGCCGCGGTGACCGCGGCGCGCAGTCGCGTCTATGCGAGCACCGGCGCGGGGACCATTCCGGCCCTGTCGTTCGAGTCAGCCTCGAGATTAAAGCAAGGGAACAAAGCCCCTCCCACGTTGCAGCGATTAAAGAATGGAAGAAATCAGGTAAGAGCAGCCAGAGGAGGGCGGGGAGGAGAGAGGGTCGGGCTGACCAGCCCCTTTGTGTAAGGTCCTAATTTAAGGAAAAGTAACTTTCTTATTTTATATACATTTGGCAAATTAACGCGCTGTGCTAACATAAGATAAAGCTAAAGGAAGATTACTACAGTTGAATTTTAATAAAATAGACCTTGTACCTAATATACCACCTTAACAGGTGGGAAAAGAGTCGCAAAACATTGCAACTGAAATACACAACTTAAAACTGGCCAGGGGCGGGGGGTGGGGTCCGCAGCCCCGTGGCTAGTGGTTTAATTCCCACGCTCGCCTTCCGCAGCCCAGGGTTCGCAGGTTCGGATCCCGGGCACAGACCTAGCACCGCTCGTGAAGCTGCGCTGGTGGCAGCGTCCAGCATAAAACAGAGGAAGGTTGGCACAGATGTTAGCTCAGCGACAATCTTCCTCAAGGAAAAAGAGGGAGATTGGCAACAGATGTTAGCTCAGGACAAATCGTCCTCAAGCAAGAAAAGGAAGATTTGCAACAGACAATACTTCAGAAAATGCTTTCGAATGACAGTACCTGTGAAGACAAAGCCGGCAGCGGAGAGCTCCCTTGGGGCTGTCGCTTGGGCATAGAATGGCCAGTCCTTGAAGGATTTGAGTCTGGCCTCCTCCTCCCGGTACCGCGCTGCGTCCCCTCTCAGGGTCCCCGGCGGCTTCCTCACTCTGACCTCGTACTTGGCGACGTTGCCCACGTCTTCGCCCAGCAGGAACCCACAGTCTGGGCGCAGCCTCTTGTGGTCGTCCAGGGGGCGTTTGTGCAGGCTGGCCCCGAACAGGATGAGGCCGCAGCAGAAGCACTGCACCCCCGCCCTGACGCCGGTGAAGTGGAAGCCGGCCGCGGCCATCTCCTGCGGCGTCCACGAGCTGTAGGCCTCGTAGGTGGCAAACGTCTTGAGCCTTTTTGCTTCGCTGCGCATCCGCGAGTTGAAGCCTTGCTGCATTTTCTCTCTTTCTCGCTGCTCCTCTTCCTCCATTTCCTTCGCATACTGCACGGCGTCTATGCCCAGCAGCGCAGACAGCTCCTGGAGCAGCGCGTGGTCGAACCTGGAGTCCCTCCCGGCGGGGGCCTTCTCCTCGGTGGCCATCTCCTGAAAAGGGAGGAAAGCAGGGCGAGGGACGTTTCCACCTGGCCCGCTGGTCCCGAGACGTCTTCCAGGCCCTCTCCTTGCCGTTTCCCTTCTTCTGAGGCGTCCCGGTCTTCCGTGCCGCCTCCAGCCCCGTTCGGAGCCGTCGAGCCGGCGGGTCTGCGGCAGCCTCCCCGCCCTCCCCCCGACAGCAGGGTCCGCGTGGGCCCAGCACGCGAGGCCCTCCCGCCTCAGCACCCACCCTCACTCACGTCAAGGCAGAAAAGAGGGGCCCTCGGCTCCCCGTGCGTCGGGTCCGAGATGCCTGCGCGCGCCCTCCCCACGTGCGGCTCCGCAGAAGGCGCGTCCGGCCGTGCCCGCGGGTGGAGCTGGGCGGCCGCGCTCTGCCACACGCTCGCCAGGTGTTTTCCGTGCCCCCGGCTTTAGGCAGCTCGGCTGATTGCGAATCGGCCGTCTACCTGCATTTCTGCAAAAGTTGCAGCTAATTGAAGACCTTGGTTCAGATCAGGGTGCCCCCCGCTTGGCGGTACCTAGAGCGAGGGAAGAGCTGTGCGCTGTCTGAGTCAGCGGGTGTCCCCAGGGGCTCGCTCAGCCCACAGGGCTACTCAGCTCTCTGACCCAATGGCTCTAGTTTCTCCGTTCTCTCCCGATGCCCTCTCTCTGGGGAGTCTCCACTCTCCTTGGGCATGGCGTTCCTTCCCTCTACAGAGGGACTGGCGGTAGCCTGGTGGCCTGGGCAGCCCATGGCTCGCTCTTACTTACTTTCACTTCCGCCAAAGCAGCCCAAGCCAGCCAAGGCAGGGTATTCTCGGCTGACTTCTCCTCTGCCTGAATTTCTGTTTTAACCCATTGAGCTATTTCCTTTGGCTCTACCACCGTCAGATCCCATTGCCGTGCTTTTCCTCTCATCAATAGTGACAGTACTTGAGCGAATTCAAACCAGGGGTGCCTCAGCAGCCAGCCTGGCCTCTGTGGTTCTAAATCTAAATCTTTCTCCCAGTTTCATCTTTCTCCCAAACAAAGCCTCAGCCATCACTTAAATTATAAAGTAAAAAACTGTTTCAGTTATCCCCTCGCAGTGTCATCTTCAGCTCTTAGGACTGGTGATTGAAAACACAAGATTGTACTTGGTATACTTACATAAGACTTTAATAAAGGGAAAGGATAAGAAGCAAGAGGAAAACCAGGCAAGCATCAGAGAGGTCAGACGCCGGGCCTGGGTTCTGGGGGCCTTTCCCAGGTGCACAGGGCGTGCTGCACTCAGGAAGCGACCCACTCGTGTGTGTGCAGGAGCTCTCGGTCCCGGGGAAAGCACCATGCCGTCTGAGGAGGGGTCTCTTATACCCCTCTGGTCATGTGCCCAAACCAGGCGGCAAGACCGGCTCAAAAACAGAAACAAGCGGTGCAGGCTGCCCCGGGGCCGCCTCAGACCCTCACACAGGATTACTGGTTAACCACCAGTTAGCACATTTCCTTCTGGTTCAGCCGACAGAAGCACCACGGCTCCGGGCCTCCCGGAGGTAAACTAGGGCCGGGTGGCAGCAGATCAGTGGGGATCAATCCTGGTCCTGAAGCCATTCCTGGAGGAGAGACCTCCCAGCCTCTGCCAGGGTCGTGTTCTTTGACGCCAGGCTAAGGGTGCCAGGAGGTGACGTCCAGGATCTGGGATTCAAACCCAAGTCTGCGTGACCCCAGGGCCTCCAAAGGGAGGAACACGAACCAGAGAAAGGAGATCAGGCCTGGAAGGAACGCACCTGTGCCGGAGCCGGCGATGTACTCACCCGGAGGTCTGTCCGGAGTCCCGGTCAAAGGGAAGGAGGACGTGCAGCCTCGGCACAAATGCCCTTTGTCCTTTACTGGGAAGTATGGGAAGATGTTTGAGGAACTAAAACTCAGAACCGATTGCACAGTTTGCCGAGAAGTCACCAGTCACAGCTTTGGGGGAGTGAGTCAACAGGACCCAAAAGGATTAACAAAACCTAGCGTGTCCCCGAGAGGAAGTGTTTTCCTGTAGCCGGTGTGCTAACACCGGGCAAGGGTTATGGTGCCAGATGAAGTCTTACTTCTTTGATGCCAACAGTTTCTATCTTTCTGGTATCTTTTAGGATTTTCTCTTCTATCCTCGGGGCTGTAAAATTTCACAGCATCGTGTGGAGGTGTGGGTCTTCCCGCATCCATTGAGCAGCCCTCAGGGGGCCTCTGAAGTCTGAGCACGTGGGTCTCCATGCGGCCCTGGGAATTATCTTCTGTGATTTTGTTGAAAATTCCCTAGGTCTGCTCTGCTCTTTCCCCTCTTCGGGGGCTCCCGTTGTTCACACGGGGTGACTGATCCCCTGAGTTCTTGTCTGTCCCCTCACACATTCTCTCAGTGCGCTGCTGGACTTTCTGGGGGCTTCCTCTCCCCCATCTTCCAACTCTCCAATGGTATTCTTCACCTCAGCAATTACGCTTCCGATTTCCCACAGCTCGCTCTTGTTCTGACTGTCCCTTAGTTTCATGATGAGTAGGTTTTTTTAACCAATGCAATCTTTCTGAATCTCTCCTATGATCTGTCAAATGTCAAATCTAAAACAATTTAGTAATGAGTTTGACGTCCTTCATCAAGGGAAGACAACCCCGGGACCCAGGGATGTGGGGTGAGGGCAGAGGAACAGGGTGGGGTGGGCCGGGAGGTCAGGGTCTCCTTACAGGGCTGGCAGGTCCTACTCCCTGGGGTCGGGGAGCTAGCTCCCCGGAGCTGGATGTGATGGGTGTACGTTAGGATTCCTTGACAGGTGTTTCCTATACATTCGGGCTGACTTAGGTTTAGCTGGTGACCTGGCCGGGCTCTGGGCCGGCCCCCATTTTGTGGGTCCTGATGCAGGAATTGACTTTAGCAATCCCAGTGTCTCAGTTCATCTGTCTCCTGAGTCATCTGCTTCCTCAAGGCCGTTACCGTTTACCTTGGTGTTTACTTTTCACATTACCAGCTTTCCTCAAATGTATACTGATCCTCGGTTTTCAATTCATGTTTAAGAATCAGGCAATTTAAAAGCTATTTGGTCAAAATACCTAATTAAAAACTACACAAGGGGCCAGCACGGTGGCGCAGCCGGTAAGTGCGCACGTTCTGCTTCGGTGGCCCGGGGCTCACCAGTTCAGATTCCGGGTGCAGACATGGCACCACTTGGCACACCATGCTGTTGCAGGCGTCCCACATATAAAGTAGAGGAAGATGGGCACGGATGTGAGCTCAGGGTCAGTCTTCCTCAGCAAAAAGAGGAGGATTGGTGGCAGATGTTAGCTCAGGGCTAATCTTCCTCAAATAAATAAATAAAGCCACACAAGTGTGACTTGAACCTAAGCCTTCATTTCATGGAGAACAGATCCGGGAGCCAAGATTTGCTCTAGAGAAGCTCTAACTGTCAGAGAAAGAAAGAAGATGATTGCGAGCGCCCTACAGAGACAGAGCGAGCAGCTGGCAGCTCACTGGGATGCTCCTCGAGCACAAAAGGGCCGGTTCTTGACGGTTCTTTGTTTTGGGGTGCCGGTGCCCACACCAGCTCCTCTGAGTCAGCTGAAACGTTTATTCCATCTCTTTCTAAAGAGAAGAATCCGCTAATCTTTTGCCTTGGGGCTAACACCTGTCTATCTAGTAATCTGATCGTGCTGTGGAGGGAGCCGGCTGTCCTGTGCGCAGACTTTAGATCCGTCCCTGAGTTTCCGCTCCTGCCCCTCTGGCCTGGCGTCCTGACTCCCACTGCCCAGGGCTCTGTGAGGGCGAGACTCGCCCCCAGGCGACCTGTGTGTTCAGGCCCTGCTTTGTCAATTACTGCTACTCCATTTGAGTTTCCACCCCCCAAAATTTGTTAAAATATCCCACATGCCGATGGTCCCTTCCTGCTTTCTCAATTTTTCTGGGTTTGTGCTTTTTAAAATCATTTCAATAGTATCGGTGTAATTATTACCAATAATAAGAACTAAAATTTATTCAGAGCCTGCTACTCGCCTGGCACAGTTCTAAACACTTTAGACGCGCCTATTTAATCCCTTTAGCAATCCAAACAATGTTGGTGGGGTCTTCAGTGGCCCCTCCTCACTCTTGTACTGACACGTACAAAGTCACAGGGACAGTGTTCTTTCGAAGCACTCTCCATGGTGCATCCAGCTGTTCCTGGACCAGCAACCCTTTTTACAGGACGCCAGAGGTCAGGGGAACCTCTCCCCCTGCCGACCCCGTGCCTGCACAATTCGCCCCAATCACCCGTACTTTTCATCTGTAACATTATTGTTTGTGCCCGTGTCCAATGCACACTGCATTTATTGTGGCACCTTGTGCATTTGGTTGCCCTTATTAATTGGATTTTGTTTTACTATTTTTCTAAATGTTTATTGATGAGGTATAGGACTCCTGGTGTATTAATATACACCTCTTGAATTTTCTAAGTAGACATTTGGATTATCTGAATATCATGGCAGATTTGTCTTTTACAGGCATTTCACTTTCTTGTCTCATTGCATCGATTTTATCCTTTAATATAACGTTGCTTAATAACAGCGATAACAGGTATCCTGTCTTATTCTTGACTTTGGTAGGAATTCTTCTTAAGTTTGGCCATTGAGTATGATGATTGTTGTAGATTTTTAGTGGACACCCTTTATCAGTTGAAAGAACTTCCCTTTTACTCCCAATGACACTGAAAACTTAGTCTTAATGGGAAAAAGATCCAAATATCATTTCTGTATGGCAGGAAGGGAAAAAAATCCCCAAAGGAGGGGAATTAAAACACTGGATAGCCAAAAACGAACAGGCAAACACACTCACAAATGTCCACTTCCCACCCAATCTGGAGAGGGCATCTGAGGCTTTGAGTTTTAAAGTCATACTGTTTTCAACAACTTTTTAACCAAAAAGTTCAAACACACACACAGAGCAGTATTTAAAATTTCAGCCATTCTGGGGCATATTATGTATCTCATTGGGGTTTTAATTTAATGGTTTATTGGCTATTGATTTATCTTCTATGGTAAAGTGATCAAATCTTTTGCTTATTTTTAAATTGTATTGTTTACCTTTTTATTACTAAATTGCAAGAATTCTTTGTATATTTTGGATACCAGTCCTTTGTTCAATATTTGCATTGCGAACATATTCTCTCAGTCTGTGAAGTGTCTTTTTGTTTTCTTAATGGTATCTTTCGAAGCAGAGGTTTTAAATGTTGATGAAGTCTGATTTTAATTTTTTCTTTTACGATAGACGCTTTTTGTATCCTGAGAAGTCATTGCCTGTTGTAAGGTTGTGAAGATGTTCTAAAAATTAACATTTGGATTGTTCAATACCAACTGTTGGTTAAGGACGCGGAGCAACTGGAACCCTCACACACAGCTTGTGGGAGTGTAAAATGCTGCAATTCTACGGAAAAACAGCTTGGCAGTGTCAGGATAAGTTAAGCATATATTTACTAGTCAACCTAGCAATTCCATTCCTACATATTTACCCAAGAAAAAGGAAAACATATGAACACACAAAGATTTACACAGGAATGTTCATAGTAGCTTTACTCATAATAACCAAAAAACCAGAGACCACCTAAGGGCCACTGGGAATAAACAAATTATCGATACGGTATCCATGCAGTGAAATACCAGTAGGCAGTAAAAAGGAGCAGACTATCGCTACATGCAGCACGGATGAGCCTCGAAAACATTAAGCCAAGCAGAGAAGCCATATGCACTCTGTGACTCCATAGGAAGAAACTTGCACAGCAGCAAAACTAAGCACAGTGATGGAGCAGCAGCAAGGGGTGCCTGGTGCTGGGGTCCTGGGGAGCGCTGGCCGCAAGGGGGCCTGTCCTCCCTTGACTGCGGTGGCCGCTGCATGGGTGTGTGCATTTGTCAAAGTACCAACTGCTCCCTTAAAACGGGAGCATTTCATCGCATGTTAACTATAACTCAACAAATGGGATTTCTAAAAAATTCTAAGTATGTATACAAATGCACTAATGTTTAAGGAGAATCTAAAGAAACGAAAAGCAATTCCACGTTTGGAATTTGTTTTCTGTAAAGTTAGCTGAGTTCATGTCTTTCTTTTTTTTCCTCTTTCTCTTCTTCTCCCCAAAGCCCCCCAGTACATAGTTATACATTCTAGTTGTGAGTCCTGCTGGTTGTGGCATGTGGCATGCTGCCACAGCGTGGCCTGCTGAGCGGTGCCACATCGGAGCCCAGGAGCCGAACTAGCGAAATGCTGGGCCACGGAAGCGGAGCGCGGGAACTCAACCACTCGGCCCCGGCCGGCCCCTGAGTTCACTTCTTTCAGTTCAGTAGATGCTGTTCTCAGGGCTGTGCACCTGTCACGTTTCTGGAGGCGTCAGCTCCCACACTCCGCACTCTCCACGCTCACCTGGAGGGTCTGTGAACAGTCCGACACAGGAGGCCTGCGATGGCCCGGGAACGTGCACTTCTGCCCAGTTCCCGGGTGCTGCTGGTCCAGACCCCGCCCGAGAACCACTGATCACAGAGATGCTGAAAGGATCCTTCCGCCTCCAGAGAGCCGACTCCTAACACCTCACATCTGCACTGAACCGTCCTCTGAGAGGGCGTGTCAGCGAAGCCTGACCCCTGAACTAGATGATCTTCCCCGGTGACAGGGACAGAGAAGAGGCAGGCCAGGCCACCACACCCGCTGGCCCACAGGTATGATTTATTCAGCCTGTGTGGTTTTTAAAATTTGGATGCCAACATTTAAAACTTAGGAGAATTCACTTCAAAATCCAGTTCTTAATTTCTCGTTAAATATCAAAATAGATGGCACCAGGGGACCTACATTCCCTGGACACATGGGCTGGGGCTGGGTGACGGTCACCTCCTTTAAAAAACGTTTCTTTTTTGGACTAGGTAACAAATGCACATGCAGAATTGAAAA